TGGAAACCTCCTGATGGGCTCAGAGAGGATTCCTTCATGCTACGACTGTAGTGTTTATTTATAACCCTCATTAAAGATTTTTATAAGAAAAGATGAAAAAATATGCTAGCATTTCTTGTATATAAATGTCCTCTACGTTAATGCTCCACCATGTCAAGAAATTAATCTTTGTTTTCTCTGTAACTCTGATAACAGTGTTATATTCCGCTGTTATAATCAATTGAGGTAACATCATGTTACTGTAATAAAGTGATGTAACAAATGACTTAAAAATGTTTAAAGCTTTATTATCTCGTTTACGATCCTGATGGAAAAATATGGATTTTCGAGTTTTTTCTTAGGGTGTGCTCGATGAAACTGCGTAGTTTAGTGTCTTCTTTTGAGTACTTAGTGTCTAATGCAAGACAAGTACTCCTGGAAGGTATTAGAGTAGAGGACAATTGGCTTTTTATGGACGATTTCAATTTCTACCGCTCTCTTGCCAATCGCAATAGGCCTGGTGGAAACCTCCATGACACATTCCTTTTCAATGAGGCCATTGGGCATCTTGGCTTGGTTGAACTGCCGATCGAAGGAAGAGCATACACATGGAGTAATATGCAGTAGAATCCGTTACTAGAACAGCTTGATTGGTTTTTCACTTCTGTGAACTGGACGAATGATTTCCCCCTGACAGAAGTCCTTCCTTTGGCCAAGGTGACTTCTGATCACGTTCCATGCAAAATAATGATCAATACCAGCATACCCAGGTCCAACCTTTTCAGGTTCGAGAACTTTTGGACTGAACATAGTGACTTCATGAGTGTTGTGGACAATGCATGGAGCCAGCAGGACAGTCATGTCAACGCAGCTAACAACCTTGCAGCTAAATTAAAAAGGCTCAGATATGCACTCAAATCTTGGAGTAAGAGCCTATCGAATCTTAACTGCTAATCAACAACTGCAACGTTGTCATGCTGTTTTTAGATGCTCTGGAGGAGAGACGGGAGCTCTTCAATACTGAAAGAAACCTGAGGAACATAGTGAAAGATAAGGTCACCAAGCTCCTTCATTACAAACACCTATACTGGAAGAAACGGTACACGGTCAACATAATTAAACTAGGAGATGAATGCACCAAGTTCTTCCACGCCATGGCAACGATCTCATACCGAAGGAACTCCATTCCGCAGCTGACCAATGATGGCGGGGCAGTGATCAATGACCATGCTGGAAAGGCTGACATGATATGGAGCTCGTTCAGGGGAAGAATGAGGGTCACAACTAACCCAACCATGGTATTTCACCTAGCAGAGCTCATCACACCGCATGATGACCTCAGTTCACTTGTTAGCCCCTTCTCTGAATCAGAGATCGATGACATCGTGAAGAGAATGCCGCCTGGATGGCTTCAACGGGCACTTCATCAAGAAGTGTTGGCACCTGATCAAGCCCGGTTTCTATCGGCTGTGTTCTGATTTTTACAACTGTCAGGCCAACCTGGAAAGCATCAATGACTCGCTAATCACACTGGTCCCCAAAATTCCGAACCCTGAGACAGTTAACGACTTTCGGCCAATTTCACTTCTCAACAGCAATCTCAAGATCCTCACCAAAATATTAGCTGACCGACTACAGTGTCAGATCATGCAACTGGTGCACAGGAACCAGTACGGGTTCATCAGAAGCCGCACGATCCAAGATTGCTTGGCTTGGTGCTTTGAGTATATACATCAGTGCAAGCAATCAAGGCGCGAAGTGATAATTTTGAAGCTGGACTTTGAGAAAGCGTTCGATACGATTGAGCACCTGGCAATCCTCCAAATGCTAGAACACACGGGTTTCCCGCAGAGATGGATCAACTGGATCAGCAGTATTCTATCCACCGGAACCTCAGCTGTCATCATGAATGGAGTACCGGGCAGAAAATTTAAATGCAGAAGGGGTGTCCGTCAGGGAGACCCCCTCTCCCCGTTGATCTTTGTCTTGTCCGTGGAGCTGCTTCAGATCTTGATAAACAGAGCAGCATCGCAGGGTCTCCTATGTCCTCCAATTTCCCAAGGAAATGCTGATTACCCCGTCATACAGTATGCCAACGACACGCTGCTTATCATGCAGGCAGACGCCAGGCAATTATTTTTCCTGAAGGCACTGCTCAGAAGTTTCTCGGACTCCACGGGACTTAAGGTCAATGTCTCCCAAGACAGAATGCAGATCTTGGCCAACACATTTGGATGTCAAATAGGAACATTCCCGTTCACATACCTCAGGACTACCCATGGGCACGACAAAGCCACGCGTGGAAGACTACACTCCTCTGATGGACAAGATCGAGCATAGGTTAACCGCTTGTTCATCCCTGCTATCCTACTCTGGGAGGCTTCGAGTGGTCAACTCGGTGCTCACAGCGACAGCCACTTATGCAATGTGCACGCTGAAACTCCCTGAGGCCTTGTTCGGTTGCATGGGAATAATTCCTAGCTGAACAATTCCTTCACTAATTTGTACTAGCGCGGAATGGTTCCTGGCATGGAATGGCCCGTTCCAAGATAATCGAACGGGGCCTAAAGGTGTGATCGATAACATAGACAGAGCTCGTAAGCAATGTCTATGGAGAGGCTCAAATATGACAAAGAAAGGAGGGAACTGGGCTGCTTGGACCATGGTAAGAAAGCCCAAGAGCAAAGGAGGTCTAGGTGTCATCAACCTGAACGTGCAGAACGATGCCCTCCTTCTCAAACATCTCCATAAGTTTTATAACAAAGTGGATGTGCCATGGGTCAACCTCGTTTGAAGTACTACACTGATAAAGTGCCGCATGCTACCAGAGAAGTCGGATCATTTTGGTGGAAGGATGTACAGAGGTTGAGCTCTATTTTCAGAAATATTGCTCGATGTTCCATCGGCGATGGCATGACTGTCACTTTCTGGGACGATCTCTGGTCAGATGATGAGGTATTAGCGCATCACTTCCCCAGGCTTTTCTCTTTCGCCAGGAATCCAAACATAAGTGTCAGTGAAGTTATGTCTGCTGAAGATTTAGACACTCTCTTCGTTCTACCGATCTCACAAGAGGCTTTTGAGGAACTTGAAACGCTCGGTGATTTCCTACAGTTGCAAGCATTTGATGAAGAAAGTAGAGATACTTGGACATATCAATGGGGCAATGCGACTTATTCCTCGAGTAAGTTCTACAAGCTAGCTTTCCAGAACCTGCCGGAGCACCCAGTCTTCTCTTGGCTCTGGAAATCCAAATGCACGCCTAGAGTTAAATTCTTTGCCTGGCTAGTCCTAGTTGATAGACTGAACACTAAGACAATGCTCAGAAGGAGGAATTTGTTTGATGTATGCACGGCAGGGATAGATGAGGATCTGGACCATCTCTTTTTTGATTGCCCTTTCTCCAAGAGGTGCTGGGAGAAGATAGGAATGCAGCGGAACACAGGCCTCAGCTTATACCCGAGAATAGCGCACGCCAGGCAACAACAAAACATTCCTTTTTTCATGGAGGTAGTGACCATTGCTGCGTGGGAGATATGGAAGATAAGAAATGACAGAGTGTTCAACAATGGCCAAGTCCACGTCAACATTTGGTTTGCAAATTTCAAAAACCAATGTCTGCTTCAGTCGCTTCGTTTTAAGGATGATCTAAGATCAGCCTTTTTGTTTTTGGCTTGATGCTTACAGTTAATTCCTGTTGTAAGTTTGTACTGTTTTACCCTTAAATTTATAAAATGAAGTGCTGTGGGGATCTCCCCCACAGTTTTTGCCTTAAAAAATATCCATATACAGGAAAAGAAACGGCATAGTAAGACATGAATACTTGGCTGGGAAAGCATAAGGATCTCCAAACGTTCTTTTGATCAGCTTTGGACTTCAGAAACTATCCATTCCAAGAATACGGAGCACGCTCAACCACTAAATAGTCCCCTCTTATGTCCTTGGCAACCCGTATGTCATCATCCAAATAGACAGTGTCAAACCTGAAAGTTGATATACATAATTCATTAAGAATATTGAAACAGAACCGACAAACTGAACAATGTCTAACACAGGCATTCCACTTTTTAGCCAGCGCCAAGGTGCCAATTAGCAAGCTAACATTTTTCTTTTCGGACGTGAAGGGGCAGCAACCTAACATTATAGAGTGCTTAGCCTACATTCATGAGATATTTATCAGGAATATATAGCATGGTTAGAGCATATGAGCTTGTCCATTTCACCTTAAACATTTTGCATTTCCCCCAAAGCACTGGCTGAAGAGGGTCAGATTGTTTTTAAGGGCTCCTAAAATTTTCTTCCAAAGCACAACTGCATATGTAAGAATGGAAAACATTCTAAGGTGGATCAAGGACAAATTTGAGATATTTTTTTTCTGAAAAATGCAGCAGAACTGCGCCTCTTTGAATTAAGGAGAAAACGGATTCAGTTCTTACAATGTATCGAGACAAGCTCGCGCGGACTTGGCCACTTGGGTGACGCAACACCAAGACTACAATGCGACTTTGGCAAGGAAGTGCAAAATTTTAGTTCATCTGATCTGCTAGCATAAACTATACACTCGCAGAAGTAAATTGAGGACCAAACAAAAACTCATTAGGCCTCATCTGGTACCATGAAGGGGTAGCAGCATTGCTGAATTTAGAAGCTGTCAATGATTCCACAAGGAAGCATATGTACCTTTTTTTTCTCTCAATCATCCATTCAATTCAACTGATATGCCCACAAACTTCCTTTTGATGTACACGAACTTATAATATTCCAGGTTGGTACACTTGTGTTATTGGCTTATTGCTCTAGTTCCTATGTGCTAAAACGATTAATTGCAACTGCAGATAGATCGATAGGAGTACTTATTATAAGGTAAGAGGCGAACATATTGCACTCACCATCCTTTTCCAAACGGCGGAAAAGGAACCTCCCACTTGTTCCCTCTCAGAACAGCGCGGGTAAACCTAGAACAAGCACATCCACGTTCCACATTAACATGCCTATCAGTTGATCCAATTATGAAACAGATGCTAGATTGCTAATGAAGCACCAAAAACCTGCCTGAAATTGACTCGCTGGGGCGGCTGGACCTCGATTTCGCCATTGACAACGAACGCGCCTGAGGGAGGAAACGTGATGACGTTGTTAAGGGCGCCGCCGGGGACATCGATGACCTGGAGCACGTCGCCGGCGGCGGTGCGGAAGAATGGGGCGTTACGCACAATGAAGAGCTGCTCCTGCTCGGTGGTCCAGAGGAGGCGCCAGGTTCCGGAGAGCTTGGCGGCTTCGGAGACGGTGTCCGCTCCGGGGGATACGGCGGCGAGCGCGTCGATGCAGGAGACGATGTCGGCGAGGCGGGAGGGGTCAGACTGCGTCTCGAGGCCGCGACCCTGGTCGGCGATGAGGCGGAGGAGGTCGGCCTTCGCCGGCGGAGGCCTGGTAGGAAAGAGTCCGCGGAAGAAGGCCGCGGCGGAGGGGGGTCTGGGCGCGAGGCGGTGGCGAGCGCGGGGGATCGGTGCCGGTGGTGGTGGTGCGAAGGTTTTGTTGGGGACGAAGAGGAGTGGCGCCATCGGTAAAGAAGATTTGGTTCGGGTGGCCGTGGAGACGCAAAGAGTTGGCGAGCCTTGCCCTCGGAGGGGAGTTGGGCCGAGTGAGTCATGGGCCTCTTCTTCTGTCTTGATGGGCCGCACTCTGTTTCGTCGTTATCGCAAGCCCGTCGCCTCATTGAACCCTAGCCCCATCCATGGCTGCTTGCAAGCCACAAGCACAAAACCTCATTTGAGCGTGCGAGCTCCTTCGCCTCGAACCCTCTCGCGCTTGCCTTGCCTCCACGCACCAGGGCCCCCCTCCCACCTCGCCGCCGCAGCCATGGCGATCACAGCGCTAACTCCCGACATCCTCGGCGAGCGCCAGTCCGGCCAGGACGTCCGCACGCAGAACGGTAACCGCCGCCACCCCTTCCTTGCCGCCAGATTCCGCCGCGGTGTGCGGGGTTTGTGAGATCTAGTGGCCCGAGTAGCCATCTGGCCGAGCGCTGGTTTAATTACTGTTTTTGCTTGTTTGATCGCAGTGATGGCTTGCGGGGCGGTGGCCAACATCGTCAAATCCTCGCTCGGCCCCGTCGGTCTCGACAAGGTATGCATACCTTCCGCTCTGATCTGTTTAGTGTTTACATATCTCGCCCGCAGCCTTTGGTGATCTGAACTTTATGTTTGTATATAAACCACTGCATGGTCTCATGATCTGTATTGCTAGAATGGTATTTATTCTCCTAAGTTTAGCTTATATTGTGCTAAAGATGGTGTGGATTTGAAAACGTAGTTAGCTGGTTTATCTTGCCACACATTGCATGATTAATTCATAGAATATATTCAGTGTCATCACATTTTTTTTTAAAAAAAAAGTTTCTAACAAATGAGAAAAATCACTGATACATCAGAGACTCATGCTCTTATGTATGCAGTATGCACTGTACTCTAATCAGGAGAAACGAAGACTAATTCAGCACATTCTGTTTACAGATGCTAGTGGACGATATTGGTGATGTTACCATCACTAATGATGGTGCAACCATACTTAAGATGTTGGAAGTTGAGCATCCAGCTGCCAAGGTGATTCATGGCAGAAAAATCTGAAGAAAAAAATTATGTTTTGATTGCTTCTTTGTGGTTTATTTATATTTTGCTATCGATTTCTAGGTTCTTGTTGAGTTGGCTGAGCTCCAAGACCGTGAGGTAGGAGATGGAACAACTTCCGTTGTCATCATAGCGGCAGAGTTGCTCAAGGTAATTCATGTTTCGCTTTTCTCACTGTTGTGAATTACCCTACCAGTTTTCAGATGCACATGCACTAACACAGTTTTGTTTCTTATTGTCAGAGAGGCAACGATCTTGTGAAGAATAAGATCCATCCAACCTCCATAATCAGTGGCTACAGGGTGCGTTAGCAAGTCTCATTGTAGCTGTAGTAGTATTTGAATTTTAACTGGTCATTTCAGTGGCAAGATGACTGTAGCTCACCTTTGTGGTATGCTTTTCCTTCATATTCTACCAGCTCGCTATGCGTGAAGCCTGCAAATATGTTGAGGAAAAGTTGGCAGTCAAGGTAAGGGAATGTTGTATTTTGAGTAAATACTATAGAAGAATGCTGCTTCCCCACTCCATGGTTTTCGTTATACTGATTTGGATATTCATCTACACTTTCAGGTCGACAAACTTGGAAAAGACTCCCTTATCAACTCTGCAAAAACTAGCATGTCTTCGAAGTTGATTAATAGTGACAGTGATTTCTTTGCAACTCTGGTAAGTTCTATGGTAATTTTGACTTTAAGGTTGCTTAGAACTAGATTATTCTTTAGTTGGTTCATTTAGCTCTGTTGTTTCATATATACACATGGTATTGCTTTTGGTCTAAATGAATCAGTGTGAATATTAACCGTAAAGCCTTTTGGAAATTGATGTTCGTTATAGGTTTGTTTTAATCGTATTTATTTAATGTTGTACCAAATACATGGCTTTACTTGTGCTCTGATTTGTGTTTTATTGTTTTCTAGAGAACAGAGATCGTTAATTATGCTCTTTTGTGTTTTCTGACCGACAGTTTATTTATCCCAGGAGCTAACTGTTGGGGTTTCAACTATCTTTCAGTTAGCATTGCTTTCATGCTTTGAACAATTTGATGTAAGCTTGTCCTGACATTGAGTTCGTATAGGTTGTTGAGGCTGTTCAAGCTGTCAAGACTACAAATGCCAAGGGAGAAGTGAAATATCCAATCAAGGTCAGTCAAAACACATTTTGTTCTAGCACAGCTCCACTAAATCTATTCAATCATAAGGATTTACTTTGTGTTAATAAGGCATCTCTGTGAACTCCTTTTTGAACCATCCATTCCCTGATGCTTACTACTTTGTAGTGGTCCTTGCTCCCCATATTACTGTTTGGATAATATGTTCTGCAATAATATTCAATAAAGATGTTACGTACAGCCAGGGTCGGAGCCAGGGCAGGTACTGCCAAGGCCCGCCCCCTCAAAGCCAGCTAGCTAGCTAGGCTGAAGCACATCAACTCCTAGTAAAAAGCACCTTCTTGTCCTGGCTCTACCCCTGCCTACTACAGCCACCTAACACCTTTCTTTAATGCCTTTGGACCCCTAGGTGGTCGTTGCTGCGCTAATTACTATAGATCAATGTCTTTGATGATGGGCTGCTCAGTACATGGGCAACAACTTCTAAAACTTGGATTACCATTCCCTTTAATCTCCTTGATTTTTGTGTTAACTATTCTTATCATCGAACTTCTCCATAAATTTAGCTTGTAACTTGTTTTATCTGATCTGCAGAGCATCAATATTTTGAAAGCTCATGGTAAAAGCGTCAAGGATAGTTACCTGCTAAATGGCTATGCACTAAACACAGGCCGTGCAGCTCAAGGAATGCCTACGAGAGTAACTCCTGCTAGAATTGCTTGTCTTGATTTTAACCTTCAGAAGACAAAAATGCAACTTGGTGTCCAAGTTCTCGTAACTGATCCGAGGGAACTTGAGAAGATTCGGCAGAGGTATTTGCAATCTGTGTTCCGATACTTTAGAATTTGGTTTGCCTATTTCTGGTAGAATCAGCACTGTAAATACAGTCTTTATATCTTCTTGCATGTTACTTGTTTCTAATTTGTTCAGCCAGATCTCTCCATCTTTTTTTAATTTTTTGGCTAGAAATTCATTGATCCATTCTGTTTTGAGGTCTCAAATGGTAATCCCTATTACTTGCTCTTTTTGTCAGAGAATCTGACATAATGAAGGAGCGAATTGAGAAAATTCTCAAGGCTGGGGCTAATGTTGTGTTGACCACCAAGGGAATTGATGATATGTCCTTGAAGGTATGTTTTTCATTATTCAGGCAGAAAGTGATTCTGTTGTATTTCCTATTATAGTTGTCTAGCACCAAAGCATTTTAGTTGCTCTGGTTGACTTTGCGACAGAATGACACATTTGCTTTCTTACTAGTAATTTTGGTTGTCTGATGCATTGTCCATTTACTGACACTTAATGTAGTATGTTTCATTTAACTAATTCTTGTAAAACTTACCAGAGCTTGCACTAACATATTTTTGTCTACCTGCTCTCCTGTTGTTCATGTGACTTTCAAGATCTCAAAATGAAGCTTCTCTTCCATGATTTAAATTGATTCTGATGATGTCATTTTAACATCTATTGGGAACTTTTGATCTTTCCATGTTAATATTTGTACAGACATCTCATCCTGATGACTGCCACTGAATCACTTTGTTATTGTGTTATGAAACATATTTCAGTACTTTGTTGAGGCTGGAGCGATTGCAGTAAGGCGTGTGCGCAAGGAAGATTTGCGCCATGTTGCCAAAGCCACTGGTGCAACTATGGTAACTGATTTATTTTATTTATTAATTAAAATTAAAATACGAAATCGAAAATCAAACCTGTTAGCATTCTAAGGTCAAAAGTGTAGTTTAAATTAAAGTAAATAATTGCTTTGTACCTTTATCTATACTTAAATCATATAAATAGGGGTTTCATAGAAATTGTTTGTTACGTCAGAATCAGAAGAAACTAATTCTGTATGGAGAAACAAAATATCTCTCATTTTGACGTGAATAGCTTTTTTTTCTTTGAATTTCGAAATAAAGGTTCTTCATGCTTACATGACAAAGGGCAGACCTAGTGCCGGAGGCTCCCACATGAGTGGGGTCTGGGGAAGGGAAAAACCGAGGCAAGCCTTCCCCGCAAAATCTGCGGAGAGGCTGCTTCGAACCCGTGACCTGGTGACTCAGTGAGATAGCTCTCACCACTGCACCAGGCCTGCCCTTCTCATGCTTACATGACAAAATTTGGAAAAAAAAAATACTGGTAGAACTTCTATTCTTGAGGTTCTCTAGAAGTAACGCAGAAGATGTGTTTAACTAAGTGTTAATCATGATGCTGTTTGGCTGTGCATTATTAGGATTTTTGGTGGCTTAACAATTGAACCTTTCAGGTGAGTACATTTGCAGACATGGAGGGTGAAGAAACATTTGATTCATCATTCCTTGGACATGCTGATGAAGTTGTGGAGGAAAGAATTGCTGATGATGATGTTATTCTGGTGAAAGGCACAAAGAACACCAGCGCGGTTTGTACTTTTTCCATACCAATTTTAAGCAAGTTTGCTATAGGAGGAACAAATTTAATTTGAAGGTAATTGCATAGTCCTTGATGATTTTCTATTGTGCAGGTCTCTATAATACTTAGAGGTGCAAATGACTTCATGCTTGATGAGATTGACCGGTCCTTGCATGATGCCCTGTGCATTGTGAAGAGAACCCTGGAATCAAATATGGTAATCCTTGTGCTTCTATTCTTTCATGTCATCATATGTTGGTTACCTGCAGCTGAATAAATCAATGCTTAGTGACAACTTTCACTGTTCTTCTGTGGCTTGTGCATTGAGGATTTTTCATGCCTGGAGGAACCTTACAGTTCAAAATGCAATTTGATTTTATTTATGAGTGGACAAATTCTAATTGTTAGTATCATTGATCGTGCTAGTGTCTCCAACATGTTTTGTATTGGGTATGTAGGTTGTTGCTGGTGGTGGTGCAGTTGAAGCTGCGTTGTCAGTTTACCTGGAGAACCTTGCAACGACCCTGGGTTCTCGGGAACAACTGGCAATTGCTGAATTTGCTGAATCTTTGTTAATCATACCAAAGGTTTGTATCTGTTCTATTTAACTAATACTTTACTTTTTTTCACCAATCAACATAGCATATTAATGACCTGACCTTGCACCAACAGGTACTATCTGTTAATGCTGCAAAAGATGCAACTGAGCTTGTAGCAAAGCTTAGGGCATATCATCATACTGCTCAGACAAAGGCCGATAAGCAACATTATTCAAGGTAATGAACTAATGGCATAACATTGTCTTCAGTTATTTGATTAATAGAGCCCTTGATTCTTGTGTTTCATTTCTAAAGTTCTGTGGATGCGTATTTGGTTCTGTTTCCTTGGAAAGTTTTCTATGTATGCTATTATGTACTATTTAGCCTGCAGTGAGGAAAAGAAATGTACTGGCTCAATATTTGTGTGGCTAAACAATATCATCTCACGGTCTTGCGCCGTGCTAAGCTCCCTAAAGATCCTTACATTGAACTTCGTTTTATAACTATTGGCAACATGCTATACTTTTTGCCAGTGCAACTACACCTAGATGAATTTTAGAAACCTGGTATAATTCGTTTTCCATAAGGGCTTGTTCGGTTAATCGGATTAACCGAACAAGCCCTAAATGGTTCTAGGTGTGATTTACTTCTGCTACCTGTGCTGGGATTGCCATTAAGTTTACTTATTTGCTTGTGCAGTATGGGTCTTGACCTCTCTAAAGGTATCATTCGCAACAACCTTGAGTACGGCGTGATAGAGCCATCGATGAGCAAAGTGAAGATTATTCAGGTTGGGCCTCTTGTTTCTTTCTCGTCATGGTATTTGTGATGTCCGAGTTCTATCCCATCATCTTTTTCAATCCTGTTGCAGTTTGCCACGGAGGCTGCCATTACAATCCTGAGGATTGATGACATGATCAAGCTTACCAACGAAGAGGGTAACGAAGAAGAGTAAGCAACCCACCGGTAGGAGGGCAGTCGACTCTTGTGTGATGGTTGTCATAGCTGTGTAACATTTGTTTTTCATTTTTCGTTTAGCTTTTGCTAGCTGTGGCCTGTGGGCATTCGTGTAGGTTGTTGTAGGAAAACTGAGAATGGATGTGTATCAGTGTATCCCTGTGGGGTGACGATGACTCACGGATGGATCAAATTTTGCGTATATTGGGGGCCAAAACAGTTCTATTTCAAGGATTTAAGTTGGAAAATGGAATGGTTTCCTGTACTGATTGACTACTCATGGGGAACACTGAATAAATTCAGTACAACGAAAACCTGTGCCGCCTCGGAGAATTCCGTGGTACCGCAGCTTAGAAGCAAGCGTGGTTGCATTAGGTGCAGAAAAGCAAGGCTTCAGGCTTCAACCGTGTTATACTGACACCTGGGCTGCGCTATTTTCCTATCACACTTCATATGTATATCCGTCAGGACCGTATACAGGGAACAAATGAAATCGAAGGACACTACTTAACTAACTAGCCATCTAAAGAATGATGCTCGGCTGTGATTTTTCCACAGTGCGTAGAAGCTCTAGGTGCAGAATGATCCGAAGATTAATGAGAAGCCACAGTGCGTAAGAAGATTTCTAGTAGTCCGAAGTAATCCGAAGATTAATGGAGAAGCTGTAGGTGCTCCAGTAATCCGAAGATTTCTAGTAGTCCGAAGTCACCTGAAGATTCATGTGTATGGTCATCTAAAGTATACTAGAAGCGTACTAAATTCGCTCCAAAATGGACAGCGTACTAAATTCGCTCCAAAATGGATCCTCCTCTAAAGTATAGAAGCGCACTAAATTCGCTCCAAAATGGATCGTCCTGCTACAAGACACTATTAGCAGCTCTTTAAGTTCAAAAACTAAATGACCACCTAGTTTAGGCGACTCACATCGATCCATGCTAAAGTTAAGCACCGCCTTCCAAAATAATCACATCACATCCAGGCAGCTAGCTAGTGACTAGCGAGTTCACGCTGTATATATAGCCGTCCCGCCCACCAGCACGGCGTCGCGAAACATAGACGAAGGTCGATCAGGCTAGCTAGCATAATAGCATTCCTTGCTAGCAACAACAATGGCGTCGGCTGGGCACAACAACGCCACGGCGGCGCTACTGCTCCTGCTGCTGCCGCTGCTGCTGTCGTCCACGGTGTCGGAGGCGCGCCACAAGATTGATTGGAATTGGCACGGCCCGATAATCTACGCGTCGCCGCCGCCTCCACATTCCGGGCACCACGGGGGACTGGACTCGCCCTACATAACCGAGCAGGCCCCGGCGGCGTCGCCTGAAGATCCTGCCGGCGACTCGTCGTGGGCGCCTAGGAAGCCATAGGACTAGGATCTGATGAAATCAAAGCAGCACCGTATTGTATTGCATGGTTTATGTATGAGGAATAAATTTAGTTCTGCATGATGTCCATACAAGAGCAGTGTATGGTTTACTTGCCATTGCAGTTGAAGCTAACTGAATTTATACCTGGGAAAAAATGCTTGGTAAAGCTAGCATACTACTAGTACTAGTCTGAGCTTCATATCATATATGTAAAGCTAACTGAAAATACTCTTGCGATCCCTCGCTTGAAGTCGCCATGTGTAGCTGAAACAGAAAGTAACATGACAAGTGATCGATACTACTAACAGAAAACTAGCAATTGTTCATGAACACAAAAGGCAGGCCACAGTGTTTACAGAACTACAAATGCAGGGCAGAGATGCTTTAGTCTCCTGCATATGATCGTGGTACATTGCTTTGCTAATTAATATACATACATAGTACATAAGAGAGACAACCATTTACAAGTGAGATAGCTCAGGAGGGATAGAGGGGACAAGAGAGGAGCGGCTATGCAGGAAGCCGTGGAAGCAAGAAGAATGGTCGAAGAGGAGCGTGGCAGAGAAAGTGGCGCAAGATCCGTGGACCAAGGCCTTGCAAGGTCAAGAAAACAAGATAGGATTCATCAGGAAAGATAGACTTCATATACTGTTGAGTGGTGAAAGGAGATCACTCGATCAGTGTGAAGCTTGGCGCCACTGCAAGGACAAAAGGAGAAAAAAAATAGAAAGAAGGGAGAAAGAATAGAAAGGCTCAGTCAGGATAGCACCGCAGTCAACCTAGCTAAAGATTTCGCCGTGGATCCGATGAGCAACCATGGTAGCGCTCTTCTTGTGGCGCCATCTGGCCACCGCAGAAAGAAACGAGTTGATCATCACGACAACCAGCCACCATGGACTGGAACCGGAGAGTGCAGTGGTCGATGCGTGAGAAGCTGAAGAAGCTGGGGTGATATGGTGGTTGGTGGCAAAAGCCATCGTCGATCGATCTACCAGTTTGTGCAGCTATGGTTTTGGATGGAAGGGGCCCTCTTTTTATACCGCGATCGAGAGGTAGGCGATAAGGGAGAAGCTGGGGGAGTAAATGGCCGCGATCTAACTCAGCGCAGGGGGTGCAATTGCAAAGCCGCTTCAATGGAGCCGTCGCCTAACTCTTGTGTTCACCTTGCGCAGGCCCAGCTGCGGGGCTGCAGGCTGTTGACGATCGAGAGGAGCTACTGGCTTGCCAGTTGCCACTGTCCTTGAACGTGATGTTACAGCCACGTAGCAAAAGGTACTGGTGCTCTGTTGATATCTGTTCTTGACATGACATGCGTTGCATAGCATTTGGATGGTACTGATCAGGATTATACTGTGGTGCTGTGTTGGGTGCACTCTCCGTTCTGTTGCTTCGGAGCACAAGTTAGTCCTATTGAAAATTTGCTAGGGACACGTAAACTGACATCCTACAGAATTAAGACAAAATTCACCTTAGTCCTATGTCTAGGATATATTACTACGCCAGTTCTAGAAAGGATGCAATTCTATGTTTGCTCATATTAAGGATGCAATTTTATGTTTGGTCGTGGTCAAACTAATTTAAGTTCAACTAAGTTTGTAAAAACATAAACATTTAAAACTTCAAATAGGTAAATTATAAAAATACAAAAAGGTAAATTATAAAAATACCCCCTCCGTCCCAGAAAGAATGTAATTCTAGCACAATATCATGTTTTTAGTATCTTAAATTTAACCAATCACAAAATATATTTTTATAATAAATTGATTTGGAGCCATAAATGTGAATATCATTCACTAAAAATTTGGCCAAACGTGAACCACTTTAACCGGCATGCAGACAATAGTTGTATTTTTTTTTGGGACAAGGGGGTACATTCTATGACAATTTAATGATACTTAATTGGTATGATAAATATGAATACCTTTTTAAATAAATCTAGTCAAGTTTAATTGAACATTCCTCAAAAAAAAGTTTGATTGAACACTATTCTATAATTCCATTCTTTTTTGGACAAGGGAATACTCTTTGAACGAAACGCTCTTTTATCTTTTTCCCCTCAGTATTTGTGGCATATCGGGGGTGTTTGGTTCTTTAGTCGTTCCTAAAATTTATGTCACATCAAATGTTTAGAGGCTAATAAGGAGCATTAAATATAAATTAATTACAAAACCAATTACATAGATGGAGGATAAATATGAATTTTTAAATTAATATATCATTAGTCAAGTTTAATTGAACATTCCTCAAAAAAAAGTTTGATTGAACACTATTCTATAATTTCATTCTTTTTTGGACAAGGGAATACTCTTTGAATGAAACGCTCTTTTATCTTTTTTCCCTCAGTATTTGTGGCATATGTAATGTCACAGTTGATTTAAGCAGCGGCAACTCATCTGCATCACATCATGGGCAATGCTTCATGGGACACTTTAGCAGACCTGTACGTTGCGTAGCTGCGCCCTTTTCAGAATTCAGACTACTCGGCAGTAAAGAAGCACCACATTTCTAGTCTACTACCACACGCAAGAGATATGCTGAAGAGATCTCTATGCTGAAAACCGATCGATCGGCTCAGCCGCTCAGGCAAGCGTAGCTAGCAGCCTGCAGGCACGAGTTCAGAAAGCAGTGTGGCGGAAAAGTCTTTGTTTTGTGCACCGGTTTATTTGCTGTTTGCGTACAGGTCTCCAGCCTCTTCTACTGTTTCAGATTAAAATCCAGGTCGATCCCATTCGGTGTGGCATGTATGAGTATGACAACGTTAAACTGTGATTTCAATTCATTAACGGCCGGTGAGTTTGCTACTGATTCACACGGATTTTTATGGCGGTATGGTGCTTCTGAAAGCCTGAAACAGGTCGTCCCTCCTAAGATTCAGATATGTTGCATGAGAAAGTAACCGGCAGATGCAGGGTTCAGCAGGACACACAGAGACGACGATACGAGTTCATATCGTATGGTGCCATGCACATGTCTCCTGCTGCAGCTCCTACCGCTTCTTGATCGATACCTGGTGGTGCTAGCAATTAACTGCGTGAAAGGCATGGGGCATGGGCATGGGCAAGCCCATGGCCATTGCCTACCGGTACGTGACCTCGGAAGCTGAAAGAGATCGGGAGGCCAGGCCGGCCAGCGGAGCAGACGCTGAGAAAATGCAGCAAGCAGCAGCGAGAAGAAATGCGAGGACGACGCTCTGGCCACTGTTGGGAGATCAGAGCAGCAGCAGGGATATGGGCGACCCCTGGATCGGCGAGGCCTCGTGCTCCCTCCCTCCCATAACATAAGTGGTCGTTATGTGATGTCAGGTCAAACTTTTTAATTTTAACTAGGTTTATAAAAAATACGTGTAATATATATATTTTTAAATGAATTTATTATAAAATATATTCAATAATTTCTCTTACGATATTAATTATATATAATAAATATTAATATTTTTCTATATATAATCGATGAAAGTTAAAAAAACCGAGTAAGCAGGATCGCAAGAACGACTTTTGTTTCGGGCCAGTACGCATGCATGCGCGCAGGCTGGGCATGGATGTGACAGGTGACCGCGGCCGCGCGGTGACCGCGGTTTAGCGCGTCAATCCTGACCAGGCGTGTTTCGTTTGTATTTGACAAACTTTATCGTGGACTAATCGACCAAAGATTCGTTAAATACCGTGCCTGTATAATTAGTTATTTTTTTTACCGCCGCCCATATCCGCCCATACATGTCCAAAATTGATATGATGAAGAGAAAAAAAAAACTTAGAACTTTGAGATAATCTAAACAAGCCCCATGCTATCCATCGACCACGCATCGTGGCCGGCCGCTTCGAGGTGAAAGGGCAGGGACGGCTACGGCCTACGAGCCTACGCCTACGTGCGCAGGCCAGGCCGACGTGCATGTCTCTGTGCGCGTGTGAGCCGATGGAGCTGGCCGTCCATCGCGCGACTTGATGGATCCTGAGAAGGCTATCTCTGTGCTGTGCTGCTGCTGCTTCAGCAGGGCCCAGGGCGGGTCCCGCCGGGGTTCGCCGCGGATTTGCAATGCAAACACGTACTGTCGGTCGCGATACACAGTAGACACGACGACGACGACGCTAGGTAGCTACAGTAGCTAACATACTAGCACGGGACAAAAGCAGACGTGCAGGCGCAGCCGAAACAGGGAGGACCGCGGATTGCCATTGCCGAATGCCCATTGCATGCATGCGACAAGGGAACAGGGGGACGTAGGACCGAGGACAGGGGTGGACGAGATATCCATGGATTTCGGGATATGAATATATATGTTGTCTGTTATGTTGGATAGATGGAGCGAGTTATTTTTTTTGTTTGGTTGGATGGATGAGATTGCATGGGATGAGAATACTTGACTAATTATATCTATTATTTAAAAATAATAACAACTAATTATATCCTAATAAATATGCACCGACACTAATCTTGTCATTTTAATCACTAATAAAAAATAAAATATGTTAATTAGCACTATACTACCCTAATTGTCACACAAAACATGCGCTAATCAACATGTGGATATCCTCCTCGCCAGATTTTTGAGGGTCAGGATATCCAGCATCTGCCCAGAATATTCTCTGTCGTGGATATACAGGTTCAGTTTGTCTATACAACCAAACACCTTGTATCCATGGATATTCATAGAACCAAACACACTCTTAGCCATGCCCACGCTATGGTTAATTATTTTTGCTTTTTTAGTACAAAGCTTCCATTCAGTTCTTAACTGAAGTGCTTGAAGTACAGTATACCTTAACTTGTACCACACATAGACATAGGTAAGCTACCACCACTAAACTCTGCATCTGTCTGTTGCTGCCCACAGCACCAGACACCTCCCTCCTCTCCCCAGACGGACGACGGGAAACGGAACGGCGGCGCCACCACGCCACGCACGGGCGTCCGATCCGTCCGACAGGCCACAGGACACAGGGGTCGCGCTCGCGCATGCACCTGCTAGAGTGCTAGCAGCGGGCGAGCGAGCAGTTGCCAGT